CACTCTTCTCGACTCCAGTGTGTACAACAGGCCCAAACCTACTCAGCCTCTCCCCATAAAACAGTCCTTTCGTACCCTGGAGTCAACCTAGTTTCTGGAGTAGATTAGAATCCAGCTGGTAGTTTGACTTGGGCATTGTACAGTTTTAGTGAGACATTCCTGTTTTAAGACCCCTTTCCCTTTGAAATAAAGGCCAACAATGCATTTGTCTTTCCAATGAACTTGGATGTCAGGTTTTTGTGATTCAAGACTCGCAGATCCCTCTGGTCTGTGGCTTTCTGCAGTCTTTCTCCACTTAAATAATAATCAGCTCCTCTATTCCTCCTGCCAAAGAACCTCACATTTCCCTGCATTGTATTATATCAGCCCGCTCGCTTGACTATATGTCATTCTCACCCCTTCCCTTCCCATATATTTTTGTGTCATCTGCAAACTTGGCTTTAGAATATTCACTTCCCTCATTCAAGTCATTAATATATATTGTAAATAATTGTGGTCTTAGCACTGATCCCTGTGGCCTTCCATTAGTTATAGGTTGTCATCCCAAAAATGCCTCCCTTATCTAACTCTCTGTTTTCTATTAGTTAGCCAATCCTCTAATCATGCTAATACACGATCTCCATCACCATGGGCTCCTGTCTAAGTATTTTAACGTGTGTTACCTTATGAAACGCTTTCTGAAAACCCAAATATATTACATCCATTGCTTCCCCTTTATCTATCCTGCTTGCTAACTCCCTTAAAAAGTTTTGATAACTTTGTCAGGCATGACTGCCCCTTCTCGAAGCCATGCTGACTCCCCTCAGTCACATAATGTATTTGTAAACTCTCTGCGACTACACCTTTACAACAGCTGTTCATAAAAATCAAACATTTCACCAGCAGACTCGATGGGTTGAATGGCCTGATTCTGCTCCTATGTCTGACGGTCTTATGGAAACAGGACCCCATCCCCTCACCCCACCACTGAGCACGGATGCCCTTTGTCTGCCTGATCAGAAAGGTCAGACAAGGTCGTAGACCGGCTCCTTTTAATAAAACGCAGCCTTCTGTTTGCGCTCTGCCTGTGTCTCGGACGTTCTCACCCCTTCCCCCACCCCACGCAACTGTGTCTCAGGAACAATAGAAGGAGCAGAGACAAGCTGGGGCCCCACATTCAAAGCATGATCCCTGGGAGCGTTCTGTGACCGTCTGTCTGTGAACCTTCACCCCCTCCCCTCCTCTCCCTCCCCCACCCACCCACTCAAGGAGCCCAGGCCACCCTGTGTGTGAGAACTAATTACCGAAACAGGTCTTCGACAGGCGCCTGGGACAGCACGACAGAAAAGTGCGCTTGCATTCCTGTAGCGCCCTTCACAGCCTCAGCACATTCCAAACGCTGCTTCACAACTCAGGAAGCTGTCTCACAGACACCATTGTCTGGTTGGAAGACAACAGCAGTTTACACTCGCTCCAGTCTGTAACTCCCTCCCGGGGTATCTGTTATCCTGTATATAAACCCCCCCGA